GGACGATTAGTTAAACAAACCTTAGTTCTTCTTGGATGACCTGAACAATGCTGTAGATGATATGTATTGATTTGAACTAATCATCCTAGAGGATCCAAAATCATCCTAGATGATCCAAAATCGTGTTGGACGATCCAAAATCATCTTGGACGATCCAAGAAGATCAAGTTTTTTTTTCATCGTCAAGATATCCATCAAGGGCACTATTTTGGATGATATGTGACATTTTGTACTAATTAGCCCACTAATCAAGTTACTTTTTCATCATGTAGATATCCATCCATTGTGATATTCTGGATGATATTTGATTACTTGAACTAATCATACAGGACGATATATTATCATCCTGAATGATCTAAAAAAGAAACCTTCTAATCATCCAGACTCTGCCAAATCTTCCTGGCTGATTGAGCTAAATTTGAAATGATCGTACATGATGATCAGTCGATTATCCTGAATGATGTTTGATAATTAATTGCAAATTAGGGCAAATTTGAAGCTTTTTTATTTAATATTTCTTATTTTCTCAAGAGAAGATCTTTTGCTACTGTCCTAACCTGAGAGAGCTAAGAGGAGAGGGAGAGTAAGGAAGAGGGAGAGAGAGGATCTTATGAGGAAGATTTTGTGAGTGGTTTCATAAAGGTTGCTCTAAGCAAGGATCTGAGTTGTCTTCTTCAGTCATCATCCCTAGTTCCTTAGAGGTTTGAGAGAGGTTCACTTAAAAAATTAATTAAGGTTCTCTTCCTGCTTTAGTAAGAAGCAAAAGAAGTTGTGTTCTCTATCTACTTCAAGAGAAAGCAAAAGGAGTTGGGTTCTCTTCCCACTTCAAGAGGAAGCAAAAGGACTTGGGTTCTCGTCTTGCTTCAAGAGGAAGCAAAAGGAGTTAGGTTCTCTGCCTTATAAGGGTCAGTGGAAAGGAGTTTTTGTATGAACTTCTCCGTCTTACTGTGGGGGAAAAATAGAGACACTGAGTTTAGTGCAATACCTAGAGGAGTGGCTCCGGGGAGTTGACATAGGTCAAGTTGACCGAACCACTATAAAATCTGGTGTGTTCTTTCTTATTATTTTTTTGCATTTAAATTTTGCACTTTAAATTTCTTTGGTGATTATTTGGTTGTGGTTGTGATTTTTTTTAAAGAATTTTTTAAATATAATTTAGACCCCCCCCCCCCTCTTAGTTAGCCTCGGGCTAATTCACAATGGCTTAATATCCCTGACAAACTTTCAAGTGTCATTAGAGCACTTTCAATTTTTAGCTCTATGTGAGCTAAAGTTATATTCGATATTATTCACCTTGACAAATTATTGCGGAGGGTAGATGAATTTTGCTTTAAGTGTTGATAGATTTATTTTAATTTTTTTTTTCATTTTGGAATTTCTAGAATTTTAGATTTTTGGGAGCTCTGAATTTCATTAGTATTTGGGTGAAGCTTAAAATATTTGGAATTAACCCCTCTAGTTGAGCTCTATATTCAACACGACCATTATTAGGGTGTAGTGGGGTTATTTTTATTTGAAACATTTACATTTTATAGATAAACCTTGTTAACTCTGTCGAGTTATTGATAGAGGATCGGGTTCATCATAGGCTTCATGCCTTTATTAGTTAATTCTCATTGTTATAGGCCTTAAAGGCCTTATATGAATGTATTAAGACAAATATACTGGTCGCCATCACCATAAATATGTTTGATGGTTCAAACCCTATCAACTCATATTCATATATATATAGAAGGATTAAGTTTAAACTTGATATCACTTATTAACCTATGCAATATCCCTAGACGTCACGTGTATACTTATAAAATGCTCATCGGGGCCCATATGGGTTGTATAATAGTAATTGCCCCCTTTTTATGTACCTATGTGCATACATATTATAGTATATGTGTGGGGGCATTTTGAATATTTTGTAGATGTACTATAATATCCCACAGAAGATAATGTATTTCATAGACCTTTTATATTTGGAGTAGCGGGTGTACTTTCTGCTTGTAGTTATGAACTTAGATCAATCATTGGTATTTAACGGCGTATTTGTTAAATCTGTATCATTAACTTCAGTGGGTGCGATGCAATGTGTGTTAATATTCAATTGAGTACATCTTGATGCATCATGTTGTTACATTCACTGCATCTCAAATCCTTTTGGCTACAACTAACACACTACATATGTGACAGATCTCCCACAGTACATCTGCTATTGCTCTAGGGAGTTAAGTAGATGTATTCATTTTTAAACTGAAATTGACTTCAGGATATTGCATTTATTGAAGTCTTTATATATCTATCTATAGGTGAGAGGTAGTGCTTGCACTTGTATTCCTATAGGACTCGTATGTGTTGTAGATCTTCCTGGATTTGAATTGTTGTTGGTCATAGGAACTTCCACATTCTACTTCATGACTTGTAACAACTTTACACATTAATTGTCATTGTTAATATGAAATTTATTTAAGAGGATTTTTATATTTCTTCATGGTTAAATCATACATTATCTTCTATTGTATTGCTTGTGAGGTTGAATATGGTTGATTGCATGAATGTTACAACATTCCCTATTATGCTCGTTGTCACCTCACAATATTTGAAAGGAACTGCTGCATCTATCCATAAATAATCTTGTCATGGATAAGAGGTGCATCACCATACTCATTGCATATTCTTTACCATCGCTACAACCATCCTTGCTACGTGTAGGTTAGGTTTTCATATATGGCGGCTCTCTTTTATAGTGATTCGTAGGTACTTATATACATCTTAGATCACTTGTTGTATTTTTTTATTTGCATATTGATTGAGATAATCACCATGTTCATCAAGAGCTTACATTATTGCTTATGAACAAGTTCCAATTGCAAACTCATAACCTTCGAAGAGGATTTGCATATGCATGATGAGTTTGACATTCATCATTTATTTGATATTCATTCCCCGTCTAGCATGAGGGCTTTCAACAATTGTGGAAAAATTCATGCTATTGGTTGTAGGCATGTCATTGCATTTTCCACTTAACATTTGCTTGCAAATAGGTCATTTTTGATGTACGAAATTTTCCCTTTGGTTGCAAATGGGTTGTACTCATGCTTGCAGTAGTCTGATATATCAACTCATGTATATAAAACTTGCATATTCTAGCTCTCCTTCATTTATCACATTCATGTTGGTTATTGTTTGTGAAAAAACAAATCATGCATGTCAAAACTTATAATCAATTCATTTATGAATCTTAATTCATTTCACTTTGATTGTATCATTCTTATGATTTCATTTGTATTATTTATAATTCATTTGAGCTTTTTTATGTCAACATTCAAATCAAGCTCTTGGTCCAAGCTTGAGACCAAGTTCAATCATAGTTCTTTATAGTCCAAGCAAATTCAAGTCTTGTGCAAGTCCCTTGTGATCCAACTCAAGTCTTTGCATGAGTTTAAATATTCAAGTCATGTTCAAACTCAGTTCATGTCCACTGGATTTAATTCATTTGAGGTTCAATTTCAAATTAAGTTCAAGGTCATTTAGTTCAAGCTTAAGCTTCTGAATTTAGTTTTATAGTTCAATGTGCAAGTTTAAACTTTGGTCCTCAACTTATTTATTTAAGTTCAAAATAGGTCTCATGTTTACCTAAAATTTCGGCAGCCTCCCGGCATCTCCCTCATTTAGGGGAAACTATGAAAAAGTGGGCCTTCCCACCATGTATAATAAAGGCATGTATGGTATGTGTCCTTAGACACCGCATTCATGATCTTCATTCTGACCATGCACAAAAATGGCTTGTTTGGGGTCTTCGAATGTACTTATTTTAAATCAGATGACAAATATCTATTTAACTATCTAGAGAGAGAACGTTTGGGTTTCTATAGAGAGAAAGACCATCTTCCTATTCGAATTTTTTCTTCCCGCGAATTTCTGCGGTTGGTGGAGCAGTCGCTGGATGATCATCGACATTTCTTTACCGATGTCATGGATGCTTCACGGCCTTCTGGATCTCTACGTACCATTGGTAGATGTATGAGTGGTGTTGTTATCAGAGAAGGGGCAAGACCTCCGAGCCATCAAGTTCTGGTTGAAGGCAAGGGAAAGAAGGCGATGGTGGATTGTGTAGCGGCTAAGAGAAAAGCAGATCTAAAGAAGGATGCAGGTATGCCTAATCTTGATTCTTCTTCATTGGATGATTTAATTGTGAAGGTGAATAGATTTTCTGAGGTTCTTGAGGCAAATAATTGTCGTGTTATGGCAAATGATCTGAATTCTGTGGAAGTTCAGAAGATTTATGAGAACACTATTTTTGGAAAGGATTCTGGGAAGGATCCAGTGAATGATGGAATCTTGATGACCAATATGATTGCTAACATTAGACAGGATGTTATTGGGGAGGTTGCTGAAGCGTGGTCGAAGCCGAAACACATCAAGATTGCTTTTAATAGGGATCAAGTTGAGTTATCAGAAAATGGGATTGCAGTCAGGCTCAATCCAGATATGGAAGAAAAGAATTCACAAGTATTGAAGTATTCGTTAGTGATTAAAGTTTTGGGAAACAATGTTCCTTTCTCAGTTTGCAGTATAGAACTGAGAAGGCATTGGAGTAAGTATGGTGGGTTTCACTTGACGTCAATTGGATTGAATTGGAGTCTCTGTTATTTGAAGTTAGATGAGGCTGTGGAAGATATTCTGAATGGTGGTCCATGGTACGTTAGTGGTTACATAGTCGGCATGGACAGATGGTCCCTACTTTTGATCCCAATCCTTTCAAGGGAATTTCTGCTCCTATCTGGATCATATTCTCGTGCTTGCCGTTATACTGCTAGAATGAGGAGAATATAGCGAGAATTGCATCTCATTTTATATCATCAATGTATTTAGATGGAAATACATTTAGATGGGGGAAATGAGAATTTGCTCGTGTCTGTGTCAAGATTGATTTGGAGAAGAAACTACCGAATGGATTTTGGGTAGATGGGTCAGTTGGGAGATTCTTCCAATGGGTGGAATATGAGAAAATGGACCTGCTTTGTTATCAATGTGGTCAAGAAGGGCATGATAAGAAGGAATGTCCTGATGATGTAATTCAGGGTATTAATGATCAAATAATGGGAAGGCCAGATGCTGGAACAGGTGAAAGAAAGAGGATTGCTTCTAAAGTCAAGCCTTCTGTGATTAAGTCCGAGTACGGCCCTTGGATACATGTTCAATTTAAGAACAGACGACTTACCAAGGGAAGAGCGACTAGTAGAGGAGTGAATGGGTATAATGGGATTAGGTTGGAGAGCATGGGAGACAATTACCAAAAGGTTATTGTGCAGAAGCAAATTCAAAAAGAGAAGGAGATTATTGTTGCTGTGGACAACTCTGTATTGGATTCAAAGAACTGGCCAGGTAGAGAGAAAGATGATGAAGACAAGATGCCATAAATTTCATTAAATAATAGATATGTTGTTTTGCTCGAAGACAGTGAAAAAGACTCTATGGAAAAACCTGAGGAGATTGATAAATTGAAGGATACGGGTGTGGAATTAATTGATCCAGTTTTGATGAATAATGGCACGGTTTGTCACAGTGGTTAGATTAATATTAAACTAGCCAAAGAATTGAAATCTTTGAGGCCACTAGAACCATATTATAAAAAGAAGAAGAGGGATGGAAGGTTGACTTCCATGAATGGGGAGGGATCCCCTACACTGGTCTAATGTCTTCTCTATTATTTTGGAATTGCAAGGGGGCTGGGAAGAAGGAGGAATCATTGAATTTGAAGGAGATTGTTAGAGATCAGGATGTTTTCTTTATTGGGTAAATGGAGACCAAGATGACCAGCATTGATAGGAGGGATGTTTAATGCCTTATTGGGAATGATTGGGAGTATTTTCATTACCCTGCTGTTGGACTTTTACGAGGTATTTTGGCGCTATGGAATAGGAAGGTTGTGTCTTTTGTGGTGAAGGAGACATCTTCCCAAGTGATTTTTGGGGATCTTTATGTTCCTAACTTGGGGTCTTGGAAGGTTGCCACAGTCTATGGGAGTAGATACTGCAAGGAGAGGGGGAGTCTTTGGAGCCAGCTTGAAAGGTGTATGGAGGACTCTATTCCTTCCATCATTGGTGGGGATTTCAACTGTATTTTGAACAAGGAGGAGAAGAGAGGAGGTAAGAGGTTCCTTTTTTCTGGAGGACCTAGAGATATGAAATGTTTCATGAAAAATTCAGATTTCCATGATGTGAGAAGCATTGGACCAAGGTTTACTTGGTGCAACAACAAAGAAGGAGCCTCTCGGATTTGGGAAAGGCTGGATAGATGCTTGATGAACTCGGTTGCTCTTCAGAAGCTTCCTTTAGCTATTATTAGACATCTAGTTAGAGTGGCATCAGATCATAGTCCAATTGTCTTCAAATTGGATGAAAGGGTGCGGCTCAAATTGAAGACCATCAGATTTGAGGATACATGGAGATCTTACCCAATGCTAGGAGTATTGTGTATCATTCATGGAAGAAAGATGACTTTGGTGATGAAGGTATGATTCTGGAAAGGAAGCTTAGTAGAACTCTAAAAGCACTATTTTTTTGGAGTAAAAATAAGTGCAAAGACTTAAATGAGTTGAAGGAAAAACTGAAAAGGGAAATATTGGAACTTCAAAACAAGGAGGCCTTGAGAGAAGATTGGTCAGCTGACGATCTTTTTTTGCTTAAGAGCGAAGTTCATGATCTTAATGTGACATTGAGAAGATTGTCCACTCGGTGGAATCAAAGGGCAAAAGCAAGGTGGCATGAGGTAGGAGACACAAATTCAAAGCTCTTTCATAACTTTGCTACGGTAAGAAGGAATGGCAATAGGGTGAATTAAATTAAAGATGTACATAATAATTTGCAAGAAGAAAATGATCAAATTGAGAAGGTATTCATCCATTACTTTCAAGCAAAATGGAAATCCAGAGATTGTGAATTATCGGGATGGCCACTAGTTTCTGAGAACCAGAAACTAAACCCCGATGATGTTGCTGCGTTGAATTCTGAGTTTTCTGTGAGTGAACTGCAGATGTCAGTATTTCAACAGGGGAATAATAGATCACCAGGTATGGATGGAGTTATCTCCTCTTTTTACAAGTGCTATTAGAATACTGTTTGGGAAGCTTTATGGAATGCTATTAATTGCTTTCTAATATATGGCCATATGAATATGGATTGGAAAGATACTCTAATAGTCTTGATTACTAAAGTGAAAAACCCATTGATCCCATCTAACTATAGGCCTATTAGCCTATGCCAGACTAATTATAAGATAGCGGCTACAATGTTAGTTAACAGATTAAAGAATTGTATTTCCAAGATGATTGCTGAAGAGCAAATGGCCTTCATTCCAGGAAGATCAATTTCAGAGCATTATCTTCTAGCTCAGGAGATCTTTCATAAGTTCAAAATCTCTAAAAGCAAAAAAGGGCTGATGGCTATAATGTTTGATATGGAGCAAGCTTATGACAGCATGGGATGGCCAACTCTTGGTCATATACTTAAATGGTATGGCTTTCCTTCTATGTTTTCTAACCTTCTCATGGAGTGTGTTGTAGATGTGAGGTTTTCTATCATTATTAATGGAAAGATATCCAAATGGATTAATGCTCAAAGTAGATTCCGTCAAGGCTTTCCACTCTCTCCATACCTCTTCATCATGTGCTCTCAACTGATGTCTAACTCCTTAGAGCAGAGGGGACAAACTCTTGGTATTCAAATCTCTCCTAGAGGTCCAAAGATCACACATATCCTTTATGCAGATGATGTGCTAACTTCCTCACATGTTTCCCTCGCCTTAGCTAAAGCTTTGAAGGTTATTGTTGAAGATTTTTCAAGTAGACAAACCAAAGGATTAATGTCAGCAAGTCACAGATTATTTTCGGCTAGGTCATCAGATACCCCATGAAGAAGAAGATTTCTAGAGTTCTTAGCTTCAAAGTTGTGAAGGAGATGAGTTTTATAGGGATAAAGATTTCTCTTAGTAGATTAAAGATGGCTGATTTTCAAGAGCTATTGAGCAATGTCCTAGATAGACTCAATGCCTGGGGTAAGAAGTCATTATTAATGGGAGGTAAGATTACTCTCATTACAAGCTCTTTGTTGTCTATGCCAAACTTTTTAATTGCACATTCTTTGATTCCTAAAATAATGTTTTATGAGTTGGAAAAACATTGTAGAAGATTCATTTGGCATAAACCTGATGGAAAACAAAGTATGCATTATGTTGCTTGGGGGGGAATTTGCAAATCGAGAAGTATGGGAGGGTTGGGATTGCACTTGCCTGTAATGAAGATTGGCTCATTGAGATCTAAGTTGGCATGGAACTTTATGCAGAAGGCAAAGACTTTGTTCCATAGAACAATCAAACCTAAGTATGGGAATGATGTTATGAACGGCACACACAAGAAAGTCACATCTAATGCTTGGCAAATCCTGTTAGATGGTGGAAGACATTTGAAAAATATTATCAGATGGAAAGTAGGAATGGGTGATAAGATTAATGTATTAATGATACATGGTTGTTAGATAAGTGCATAATCGGTGGCCAACATTTGTAGAATGTGGTTCTTTGGAAGGGGTATATGTACAGCAGCTGCTATTGAGTGACGGTCACTAGAATTTTACTATGCTTCAGGAATCCTTTCATCCAGATCTCATCCTATTGATTAGTCAAATTCAGATCGAATTTAATATGGCGAACCGGGTGGAGCTGCTAAGTCTGTGTTTGGGTAAGACAGTTTCTGCTATGTCTTATGAGCAAATACTGATACACAAATTCACTATGGATGATGATGGATATTGCAATTGGCTTAATAAGCTCAAGCTTAACAAGAAGGTGGAGATATTTTGGTGGAGACTTGGTAAATCTGCAATTCCTACAAAAGTTTTTCTCAGGCACCGCAGGAATTCTATGAATGATTCGTGTGCTAGAGGTTGCCAATTAGTTGAGAACTATGAACATATTATGGTTCAATGTAAATATCTGGTTGAAGTCATTGTGCAGATGCTTGATTGGGGTATCCATATGCCTGTTTTCCAATCTCTGGAATGCTGTTTGCAGGAATTAAGGAGGTTAGTAGCCCGGAATCCTGGTATTGTGAAAATTTACTGCACCATTGTTTACCTCTCTTGGAAAAATTGGAATGATGTTAAGCATGGAAAAGCTACTTTACCTTGTTCTTTGGTAGCTGCGAATGCTTTATCTTTAGCCATCACCAAATCTAGTCCACATCTTGCTAGCTGGGGTACTAATCTCCTTAGGGAGTCTAAAAATACTTGGTGCCCTCCACCGAAAGATTGGATGAAGATTAATGTAGATGCTTCATTGCTTAGTTCTAATCTTGCTGGAATTGGTGGCATCTTTAAAGATCACAAAGGTAGATTCATCATTGCATTTGGGAAGAATAAAGTCCATTGGGATATTGCTTAGCTTGAGCTGGAGGCTGTATTCATGGTAAGGGAGTATATAAGGAGCTGGATGATTGAATGCAAAGGGGTGATTATTGAGAGTGACAACATCAATATTATTACATTCATTCAAGATTCTTTAAAGAAGAATAATTGGCTTGTGGATAGGTGGCCGGCAAAGGAGTTATGTTTCTTAAATGACTTCAATAAAGTAGTATTTCAACATGCCTATAGAAGTTGTAATAAAGTAGCTAATTTGTGTGCTACTATATCATTGGAAAGTAGTTTCTTTTTTTATAGCTTTTCTTTTAATATTATTCCTTCCATGTTGTTGAACCTAATCAAGGAGGAATGTGATCCTTTTAATAATTGTAATTAGTAACTTTGTTACTTAATGCAATTTGAATGCATTTCTTAAAAAAAAATGAATGTACTTATTTTAAAAGAGAGTTGGCTTTCCCCTAGCTTAAGAGTACTTGTAAGTGGCGTCGCCTCACCATAGGATTCATATCAAGGTTCCATCCCACCATGCACAATAAATGCATATATATGCAATTTTTTGGTGCACCATAAATGTTAAATTGAAGCTTTAGGTGATTACCCGCCTCGTCGTAGGCATTGCCCGGGGTCCCATCCCACCACATGTAATAAAGGCATGCATGGGTATTTTTTAGTACGCCACAAACTTTGAAGGAGAGAATTTAAGTTTTAAAGAATTCATACCTTCATGGGGTTTGGTGGTGACGACGTTACAAATGCATAAAAGGAAAATACTCTCTTTCTTTTTGAATTTTTTTTAAATACCACACACTCTCTCTTTTTTACATGCATAAACTCATTAACTTACATTAATAATATAAATATAATATTATGATTATTCATTATAATGTTACTAAAAATAGTATTATTATTATGAACAATGATAATATTAACAAAAATATACCATTATTATCATAATAATGTTAACATTAATGTTAATATTAGGAATATTATTACCATTAAAATTAAATGCAATTAGTATCGAGCTATTTAAGGTGAGAGAGAGAGAGAGAAAGAGAGAGAGAGAGATAGAGAGAGAGAGAAAGAGAGATCACCTTAATTAAGCTAGAGATTTGGATTATATTTAAGAGTTAGGCTATGGACTGAGTCGAACTGAGTTAGGTTGAGTGGAGTTGAGTTGGATTGAGTTTGAGGGGTGAGTGAGGTTTAGTTAGGGACTTTTGGATTGACACGGTAGAGTGGATTCAGCCTTAAAAGCATCGGGCTTGGTATTTCTTGCGAACTAGACAATGATATTGGGCAGAGAGTTTTATGGATGTCTCGGTTTTGGCCAGGTAGGGATTCAATCGGGCCTTCATCGAAGATGGGGCTTAAGGTCCTTGACTACAGATAAGGGTTTGAGAAGTGGAGGTTTTGGTTCCTATGTGTGGGTTTGGATCATGGCTGTAAGGATTGAGGTCGGTTATGGGTAGGAGAGGAGGTGTCAAATAAGAAAGATGATGGGTGAGGTCTCTAGCTTAGAGGAGATTATGAGTGTTGAGGCTACTAGAGGTAGAGAAGGAGGGACTGCAGTGATTGAGGGCTTTGTGTGTGTCTTCCGAGAGATCGGGAGGGGCTTGAGAATGTTGGAATCAAGGGGAGCAACCAAAGGCTTCATTTGGTTGGGCATTTAATGACGTCAATGAACCTCCTCGAGCGAGGTTTGAGTAGGAATTATAGAATAAACACTTGAACAGTGCTGGTGCATAGTACCTTGATGGATTTTTTGTAGGATTCATGGGATTCTGGTAGGTATGTAGGATTTCTGCACTCTCTTTTTATCAGAGGTCAAGAAATGATCCCCAACACATGCGGTACGTGTCTAAAGTGAACCACATTTATTATATGTTGATATACCTTGCCGATCTCCAGATATTTGTTCTGGATGTCACACTAAGGTTTTCATTTAGTGGATCTCTAAAAGTTTGCTTGGATGTCATACTAAGATTTTCATTATGTAAATCTCCAAGAGTCCCTTTTTGTGCCTTTATGAATCTTTAGATGCACTTGTAATCTTCAATATAGTTTATATATTTGCTCTTGGTCAAATAGAGATCCATGGGATAGTGATAAAGTACTTTGTACTTAGGTCTCTAGAGCATCACTCTATAGATTGACAATCGAGAATAATGTCACCACTATTTATTCTCTTTTAACACTGCAATCACTTTAGTTTAGAGTTTTACTATATATGCTCAACATTCTTATTTGCTATAATTATATACGGTTGCGATATTTCTGTCATATATATACAAGAGTTGTTAATAATTTACCCGAGCTTTATAAATTCGTCATATGGAAGAACTTTGTTGCCTCTTTTTTTTTTTTTTTTTTGAGAATTGCAAATTGCATTAAGAAAGGAAAAAACTAGTTACAAACTAAATGTAAAGTTCACATTCCTTCTTCAGTAAACTAGATAATGAAGAAGGTATGCTATCAAAAGACGAATTATCAAAAAAGAAATTATTCTCAATAGCCAAAGTAGCACAACAATTAGCTACCTTGTTACAATTTCTATGAACATCATGGAAGATTACCTTGTTGAAGTCGGTTAGGAAGAAGAAATCCTTGTCCTCCCAATTATTAACTCTCCAAGCATCTTTATTCAATGAATTTTGAATGTATTTTATAATGTTGTAATTGTCACCTTCGATTATAATACCTTTGCTTTCTAACATCCACCTTTGAATGTATTTTCGGATCATCAAAATAGCTTCCATTTCAAGCTATCCCACATCCCAGTGGACTCTTCTCTCCCTGGACATAAGCAAAAGCCTGCCCTTGAAGTCTCGACAGACTCTACCAATTCCTGCATTGTTAGTCTTCAACAAAGATGCATCTATGTTAATCTTGATCCAATCTAGGGGTGGAGGGTGCCACTTCAATTGGAACTCCCTAGGGAGATTAGCACCCCAGCTATCTAGCATTGGATTAGCTTTTGTCATAGCTATAGATAAGATATTCGCTGTAATCATGTAACTGCCAAGAGTTTGCTTGCCATGTACTTTCTTGTTCCTTTCCTTACAGCATTCATGAACTGCAAAGCAATATACACTAACAATGCTAGAACAGGTAGACGACTGCATTCTCAGCTCCAGCTGACATTTCTCCTATGAACAGAAAACTGGGATCATAAAACCCCAGTTTTGTAGTATCAATAAAATCTCCTTCAAATACTTACAATGAACTGTGATATGCTCTATGTTCTCCACTTGTTGACAACCCCGTGCACATAGAACATGATTAGAAAGCTTCCTGTAATGGAGAAACTCATTAGTAGGTATTGCAAACTTACTCAATCTCAACCAAAACAGCTCAACACGGGGTTGAAGTTTAGCTTTTTTGAGCCACATTGAAAAACCAAAGTCTCCCTCTCCCCTATGATCATCCATAACATTTTCATAAGACAATGTTATATTAGTTTTTCCTGAAAACTGTTTGATTGTTTCCATATAATCT